CATCTTAGTTACTGTCTTATGATTGTTAAAAAAACAGTTTTTGATTTTTTGTTTGGAGTCTGAGAGGGAACTACACTGCTAAACAGACCAACTATGAAGCAAAATATTCTTAAATCCAATCAAATTATCTTGTATTTAGCAAAAAAATAATCTGCCAATGGAGGAAACTTTTTTTACTTGATAAGAATTATTGAAATAAGCACAAAGTTCTTGCCTCTGACAGACTAAAATGGGCCTGAAATCTTAAATTTAAGTAAATTCTTCTATAAAAAGAAATCAAAATCCTCTTATTTAAGAATAAATTAGTTAAAATTAGAAATGTCTGTATCTTGACTGAGTTAATTTTTGGAAATGACACCTTAATCTGGGATTAATAATAGGTAAAAAAGTACTTAAAATAAGACACAATTTCTTCCAACAGTGTGATAAAAAGCACAGAGCAGAGATAACTGGAATCAGAGTTAGACCGGAAATTTCCGATGTGCATCTGGGATGACGAGGCGTGCGGGGGCCGGGGAGAGAGTCAGATTAGATTTGGGTTAGTGTGCAGCCGGGGCGGGGGGGGGGGGGGGGGGGGGGTAATCCCAGGCCTGCTCAGCCTCTCAGCCACGATGACCTTCACGGGCCCAGCCTCCAGTACCCTCTCCGGGCCGGCCAGGGCCCCCCCGGAGGCCCCCGGGGGCCACCGGGACGGAGCAGGAGCTCCAGGACCCGGGCAGAGAAACGGGGGGGTTCAGTCAGAGGAGAGCTCTGAGATGAGTGGAGATTCTCCTGGAACCTTCCAGAAAAGCGGGCCGGGTGGGATTAGCCGTCTGGGTCCATGTTCGCTGTGGAAAAACTGAACGGCTGGGCTCTAAATCACCACATATACCGTAGGACCCTCCACTAGAAGAGCCTCAGAGCTGGAGAGACACCAAACAGACACCAAACGACCGGAGCCAGCCACCAAAAACAACTAAAATCACCATCAGAGGAAAGCAGACCAGTCCAAAAAGATTAAAATCCCACCACAGAGTCAGTAAAAAGGAACTGGGGCCCTTAAGGAGGCTCAGAATGGATCATCTGTGTGACTCTGTGGGCCAAAGAAACATCCAGAAACAACTGGTTGATATGGGTCAAACTAAAAAAACAACTAATTCACTAAAACGCAAGAGTCAAATTGAGAAAATGTTAAAAAAAAGCTGAATGAGAAAACAACAGAAAACCTAAAAGAGGAGGCATGTGGGGCAAGATAAAAAGCTCAAAGTGAACGCTTGGATCAGGAGGACTCAAAATGCAACCCAAAAAATAAATCAGAAAAACAATTAGTGCCAAATTTAAACCCTTTTTTAAATCTTACTATCATATTAGATTTCAAACATAGATTTCTAAAACCTAAATCCTTAAAGCTTTCTTTAAAAATCAACCTGTTATGCAAAATATTTACCCCTTTTTCATATTTTTATAGCAAAAATGTGCTGAAAAGTGTATTAATTTGAATTAAAAAAACAAGAGAATTAAATGTATTTGTTGTTTTTTGAAGACTTGGCTAAAAAAAAGTCAGTATTTTTAACCCTTTTGCCTTTTTTGGGGGTGAATGGAGACTTTCTGAGCAGGGAGGGGCTCTTCCTACACGGGTTTCATAATCTGAGCGAGGCTCCAGCACAATCCTGCGTCTCTGTCGTGCCTCAGGACGAACACCGAGGCAGAGATGTGCTTTTCCTGGCTCCATCCTGGGACCCGGGTCCTACTCGGTCTGTTTCTGCCCTCCAGAGGGGCTGACAGACACCCGGGAGGCTGCAAATCGAGCTAGAATCACCTCAAATCTTCACAAATCAAGCTTCAGAATGACCTGAAGTCTTCGGATGGACCCAGAAACGTGCCATCTGCCGGGTTTTAGGGCACCAAAAATGCCCGGGCAGCCACGGCCCAACATTCCTGGGGGCCCCTTTACTCTGGGATAATTGCTCCGGCCTTGTGGGAGAGGAGGAAGTGCCAAAGGGAGCAAACAAAGGCAAATTAGTGGATGCAAATGGTGGCTGGGAGGGGGGGCTGGATCTATGGTTTCAATAGGCTTGCGCAATAACGGCTGGCGCCGGGCCAAGCCTTGTTTTTAACGGAGAAAAGCACAAGAAAAGGGATTCATTCGCTGCTCATCAGAGGCTGAGCAGAGTTTCTGTGGACAAAACAAATGTCTGCCGGTGACAAACGACCGAAACTGTTGATAACAACACAAATATGACACAACATCCATTTTCTGGGTTTGGAATGAATTAGAGCCAGTTCCTAAACGGGATTTAAATAAAAAAAATCTGGATTAAAGTTTAAGCACCAGCTTCAGAACCTGATCCAGGACTTCCCAGTTCCCTCCGATGATCTCCGATAATTTCCCAAAAACGTGATAGATGTGTTTGACCACCACCTGGGACTCACAGATCTGCTGGAGGACGGGAAAAACCAGTCCCCCTTTCTGTTTTCCTGAACAAATAGCCTCTAACACGGTTCATGGCTCCTCATGGGGGCCATAGAATATAGTCTCCACACATATTTAAGCCTTTTTTACACAATACGTGATCATACTACAGCAAACGTGCTGTTACAGTTGACGTGTTGTGAATCTAATTCACCAGCCGGACAGTTTCTGAATGACCACTGCAATGCTTAGTCCAGCATTAGCTTTCCATATGACACATGTCTCTTTGTCCTGGGCAGAAAATGACTCATTTAACCTAAAACTGGTTAAACACGGTTTGTTTATTTATTCATTAATTAATTCATTCATTCATTTATTTATGTATGTATTTTCTTATCATTATGGATTTATATTTAATTATAATTATATATTTGTTCTTATTCATTTTTCAATGCATGTATTATTATTTATTATCTGTTATCCGACCCTCAGATAATTATTTATGCACTATTATGCACGATTAAAATGCACTTTCACTTCAACTGGAGTCGTCTGACTAGTGCTCACACGCCATAACAGCCACTCACAGAGCACAGACTGAATCCTTAAATCCTCTGAGGAGCACATTTCTGCCCCTTAAAGGCAGGAAACCAGGAGTCAGCCCAGTAGATCTGGGCCCCTCAGCAGGAAGTGGTCCAAACGTCCCGGTTCTGTACTCTGGAGGACATTTAAAAGGGGTTTGGGGGGGGGGGGGGATGCTTTTACCTGTTCAGACTCATCTGAAAACATAGAGATAAACTCCTAAACTCCAACCCACTTCAGTACTCCAGATCTGGACCTGGTCGAGCAGACGGGGGGACTGGACCACCGAGGCCACGTTAATGTGACGCTCAGGACTTTTCTATACTTCCTTTCCCTCCGTAGGTCGTCCCGACTCAGAATAACTAAGCTGACAGCGTAACAGCACCATTAAAGGAAGCAACAAAGAGACAACGAGCGTTTAGAGACTCAGTTTGGCCAATTTATGGTCCAGAAAACTAAAAACCTGCCAGCGTCCAGCTTCAATTAAATCATTAGAAAGAACCTTTTCCCTTCAATTTGTCCCTCACTTTGCACATTGCTTATGTTTGTCCAACAGGCTTATTTATATTCTACCGAGTTTATAAGTCATTTCCTTCATTTTCCCTCCTTAATGACCTCATGACATGAGAACCCGTGCAGCTTTTGAGGGCTGACCCTCTGAGCAAAGTCTGGCCCACCTGAGCTCCACACCAGTGTCCAGTCATCACGCCCCCGGGGCCGAGCGAGCCGAGGTGCGGGCGGGGCAGCGCTCAGTCGTACAGCAGGATGAAGGGGTTGGTGGGGTGGCTGCCACTCCTCTCGGGACGCGGGGCCATTCCTCTGCCTCCTGCAGCCGCTCACATCCCCCGAGGACCCAGCAGAGAGCAGCCGGCGCCGTGCCTCCACCCGTACCTCCACGCCGTGCCTCTCCACTGCCAGCCCCAGCAGGTTTCCCTTTCCTGTAATCTCATTAAGTTGGGTGAAAAGATAAAGCTCAAGTGCGCCGAACACCTAAAAAAGTCTGGTGACAGGAAATCTGCGGCAGAAGTACGAGTAAACCTCTTAAAAGAGATAAGAATAGAGGAGGGTGGAGCAGGGAGTGGTTTAGTAATCCGGATGGTTTGAGGGACGCATAATCTAATTATTGTGTTTTACCACCCACGAAAAGAAAATACACATAAAAAAAAGATTTCAGCTCTACAGAAGCCCTGGGTGTTATTCCTCCAATTGCACATTTTGACATTATTCTCTTATTTTGGCACACAAACCTTGATTTTATGGATTAGACATGTTTTAGTTGAAGTCTTTTGACTTTATGGAGTTTGTTAAACGTCTGCTGATGAGCCCATGAAGGCATCTTTGTGGAGACCCACTGTTTCCTGCGACCTGAACATAAACTGTCCACCCAAATACACTTTCTGTCTCAAGACAATGAGATCCCTAAAAAGTAATTTTGTTAATACCATATTGAGAAACAGTTCAGGGCTTTTGTAAAATAATACCCTGATAAAAAATTATTTCTGAAACTGCAAAGCTGAAATTCCTGCTGAGGTTAAATGCTTGTCAGTTGATGTTACATAACAGAACTATCACAAAGTGATAGTATTATGTAGAAACATATTTTTTTCAGGTCTATTTGATGATGATTTGTTAATATGGATTTAATATTCATTTTAGGCGATAATTTTTCCTCAGTAAGAACCAAAAAAATGTATTAAACATAGAAACAAATCGTCCTTTTTGGTCATATATGAAATAAAACGTATCGATTCACTGAAACGTGTCAAACATTTTAACAAAATTGTACAATCATAACATTAACATTACATCATAATAGTCTCAGCTTATTTAATTGTTTCTTGCAAAATAGTTCTGTGGTATCCATAGTTACCGTTCCAAATAAAAAGTAACTTGTTCATTATGATTTAGGGATTTCGTGACATTATTATTATTTTTTACATCGATTGTACTTCCGGTGCAACCTTGTATTCCCTCCGATGCGTCTTGGCGGACCCTTTCTCTTCGTTCCGGTACCACCGTAGCTAACATGGCAGCGGAGGGAGATGTCGATTTGGACCTCGAAGCCGAGGAAAACTGCACTGGGAAGCCCGTGGAAAAGCCGAGGAAACATGACAGCGGGGCCGCTGATTTGGAGAGAGTCACGGACTACGCCGAGGAGAAGGAAATCTCCAGCTCCGACTTGGAAACGGTGAGAGCTCCGAGCTAACGTCCGCCCCGGAAACATGCGGCCGGGGGACATCATGACGACAGCCTCTAAACCGTTCAACACGTTTAGCTGCATTTATGTTGTTGGCCTCTTCTTATTTTCTTCACGTTTACACCCTGTGCCTCCACAAAATCACTTTTTGCTAGTAACGGCTGAACTTGGAAATTAAAATCCACTTCGCGTTAGCTGTGCTTTAGCTAGCTAGCTATTAACTTTAGTAATTGTTTATTTAACGTAACAAATGTTAAAGTTGAATTAAACTTAATCCACGTTAAGCATGGCACACAGGTCATTTTAAAATTGAATAAATAAATTAATAGAGCAAGCTATCAAACTATTATGAACCATTAATACAACCACAGTCAATGGCAGGTGTCACAATTAGCACAGACAAATATAAAGTGTCCAAAAAGAGGACAGTTCTAGTTTCATTACACCCTTATAAGCAGAATAGAACAATGAAGCCCAGCCAAGGAAATGGACTGAAGTTCTAAAACTGTCCAAAGCAGTCATAGACTGTGGATGGTGTTCAGGGATGGATCAACTATCAGCTCTCGACAGAAAGAGGATGATGATGATGGGACTTTATTTTGGTCCAATGAAAAATTCATAAAGACGACTGATTAATAATCCATCTTATTACTTCTACGTAAAACATGTAAATCAGTAGTTCACCTCTATGAAAAAATATATGTATATTTTTCTGCTTTAAAGGAACATTTTTTTCAGTTTATGTGTATCATGGTGAGTTCTCACACACGTACCAACAAAGATAAATAAGGGGTTTAAAGTCAGACTTTTAAAATATATATTTGTGTGAGATTTCCATTAAACCAACCCGTCTGTCCCTTCAGGCCATGTCTGTGATTGGAGACCGGCGGTCCAGAGAACAGAAAGCCAAACAGGAGAGGTGAGTGGAGCTGACCGGGTCAGCTTTGGCTTTAACGTTTCCCAGGAGGCGTTTGACCAGAATAAGGCATCAGCTGGTGTTTTATGTGTTTACAGAGAGAAGGAGCTGGCCAAAGTCACCATTAAGAAAGAGGACGTTGAGCTAATTGTAAGTTGAGTCACTATTTTACCCACTATGCATGTTTTTGGTCTCTGGAAGGAAGTCGGAGCACCTGGACAGAGCCCCCCCCTCTCAGCCAGGATTAAAGAATATATAATTTTAGCATAATTATGTCTAATGTGCCCATTTAGGATGCTTTAAGTCCATGAACAATAACCTTCAAGCTTTAAATCCCTTAAAATCCAGCCATTTTTTGCCCAAAACCAAAGTTGAATGTACAGCTTTGGACAGAGGCCTCTTTCAAAATGCTGGAAAGGAAATCGGAAGATAAACGATGTCATAACCCTAACCATAACCCTGACCCTGACCCTAAACCTAACCCTGACCCTAACCCTCCACCCTTCATAATTGCGAGATATAAATCTTTTTTGGTTAAACTTGTTTGGACTTATTGTACAAACCTATTTAACATCCACTATTTTAACATAATATTATGGATAGAGTTTAATTCAGTATGCAAGATTCATTTCACTATTTTTAAATAAATGTCTATGATGCAATGAAGCAATTAGGATTTTCTTTCCTTGGATTTTCCTATTGGTGACCTAATCAAAATGGCCGACTTGGATGTGACCTGCCTCTCCTGGCGTCTTTTCTCCTGCAGATGTCTGAGATGGAGATCTCTCGGGCGGTGGCTGAGCGCAGCCTGAGGGAGCACATGGGCAACGTGGTGGAGGCCTTGGTGGCGCTGACCAACTGAGCAGAGGCCCGCCGGACCCCCGGGGGGGCTGTCTTTTGTTTTTCCTGTTCTTTTTTTTTAAATAAAAGTCAATACTTCACTTCCTTCTGTTGTGATTGTTTGTAAAAAGAAAGAAAACGACTTTAATCGACACACATTTCCAGCTTGTGCACTTGGATAAAAACTGAGAGGAAGCGGGAGCTTCCACAAACGGATTATTTACAAAAGTCCCATCCCCGCCGGCTGCCTCCGGCCCAGACCCCCCCCCCCCCCCTCCTCAGGTCTTCCTCTTCTTGACGGTGGGCCGGTCGAACACGTCCCTGACGCCGGCCGCCTTCTGCTTGAAGAACTTGCTGTTCTGGGCGCTCTCCTGGGCCCAGGCCGAGTCGAAGGACGTGGTGTCCTGGTCCACCAGGTGCGTGTACTTGGTGCGTCCTGACCGGCCAAAGTTCTTCACCTGGGGAGCAAAAGGAGCCGCGTCAGCGAGACCCGGGGTTCCTGCTGGACCCGGAGGGGGGGTCTGGGGGGTGTGGGGGGGCTCACCTGCATGACTTTGGGCAGGATGGTCTTGTTGAAGTGGTCCTCCAGCGTGGGCGCGCTGAAGTCCCGTTTGTAGACGTCCTCCTCTTCATCCTGGAACAGAAACACGCCTTTAAAAAGGTCTCCGGTTTCCCGCCTGAAAACCGTCTCCGTCTCCCATTAAAACCAAGGAAAACCTGGACTGTTACATTGCGCGTGACCTCTGACCCTACGCGTAGTCGCACATGAAAGATGCTGCTTCTTAGGGCAAAAATAGCAAAAGTCCAGTCAAACGTTTTGTTAATTGTGTTGGAAACAAGTTCAGCAAAAAGATACAACTAAAAACTACATTTAAAAAACTTTGAGAAAACCTGTCTGAGCACAAAAGCTGCACAGGAGGACAGAGATGAAAACTAACTTATAAATCCACTCACAGTTTTTTTTTTAAAAGTTAGATCCAACATAAGCATTAGCATCTCCTAACCTAGTTAGACTATTTTCTATTCAGGTTGTTTGCGTGTTTTGTCTTTTTTAATACAGTTTACAATATTATTGTCACTTTTTACTGTTCACTGATGCCATTTCTGTTTGTTATTTATAGTTTGGTCTATTTGAATAAACAGGTCAGTGTTTCTTTACCAGCCAGTGTGTGTTATTCAGACTCCCCTAATTCAGATAGAGTAAATCCCTGTTCAACATGAGCCTGACAATAAGTAAGTAGATAAATAACTTTAACATGCTCTGATAGGCCGGGATCGGATCGGGACGTCCCTACTGACTATACTTTAAAAAGTGAGTTTGGAGGATAAAATGAGGTTTGTTCTAAAGTGTAAAGACTCTGTTTCAGCTGGGAGATGAGGATCAACACATCTGGGGGGTCTCTGGGGGGCCTGAGCTGAGCACCCACCATGAAGAAGGCTCCCCGGTGGTAGTACTTCTGCAGGAACTTGTATTTGCCCTTGGAGGCCTTGTTGGTCACCATCTTGCCGCTGTTTCGCAGCTCGGCCCGCCGCTCCTCCTCCGTCAGGCTGTGGAACCTCTCGATCTCCGCCTTCTCCCTCTCCATGCTGCCAAACGCAGAAAAAAGGAGCTTCATTTCCTGCCCGGGAGGCCGCCCCCCCCCCCGGTCCCCCCCCGGTACTCACGCCTCCCGGATCTCGCGGTCCCTCTTGATGCGCTTGAGCTCGCGGACCTTCCAGGCCTCGTACTCCTCCTCCTCGTTCTCGCCGTCCGTGTCCAGCGCCTCCAGCGCGGCCAGCGTGCGCCGGTTCTCCTCGAACTCCTTCTTGGCCTCCTCCTCCACGATCTTCAGCGTGTAGCGCCGCCGCTCCTCCGCCTGCTTCTTGGCCTCGGCCTCCAGCTCCTTCTGCTTCAGCTCCTCCGCCTCCCGCTCCGCCACCGTCACCCGGTCCTTCCTGACCCACAGGACGCACAAGTCCAGTCACACGCTTGCTTAGTTGTGTTGGACACAAGTTCAGCAAAAAGATTAGAATAAAAACTACATTTAAAAAACAGACAAAACCTGTGAGAGCACAAAAGCTGCACAGGAGGACAAAGATGAAAACTAACTAATAAATCTACTCTTTTTTTAGGTTGGTCCCGATCCGATATCTAGATCGGATTGGCCCCTGATATTCGCAAAAAAATGCGTATCGGCCGGCAGCAGAAAACAGATCCAGACTCCAGATCCAGTTTTTTTTAGCATTAGCATTAGCATCTATAACCACAGGTCTGTGTCCTAACCATTAAGTTGTTATCAGAGTAAATCCCTGTTCAATATAAGTCTGACAACTAAGTAAGTAGATAAATAACTTTAGACTTTAGTACAGGCTCTGATAGGCCGGGATCGGGATCAAAAAGCTGGATGGGGACATCCCACGTCTCTGAGCCTTAAGCAGGAGCTCAGGTCTCATATTCCACATGAGTCTTTTTGGACTCATGAGCTTCAGAAATCGGGATTTTGTAGCACAAACTGGAGCTCAAACCAGACTGGAGGAATCTACCACCAGTGGGAGAACCCTGAGGCCCAGGTCCCCAGACCAGAACCGGTTCCTCAGAACCCACTGGCGTTCCTGGCTGTGAGAGGGAGGTTCTGGGCTCCTACTTGCGGATGAAGACGGGCTTGAGCCGGGGCTCGGCTTCGTCCTCGCTGTCCGTGTACTCCTCGTACTCCGACTCCGACTCCGACTCCTCCCCGGACTTGCCCTCCTCCTCCACCTCCATGACCTCCATGTCCTCGTTCTTCCTCTCCTGCGCGCGCTGGCGCATCATGGCGCGCCGCCTCTCGATTTCCCGCGAGTGTGTGCGTGTGTGTGGGGGGGGGGTCAGAGGTCACTGAGGATCTGAGCCCAGCCTAAAGCACCAGCGGTCGGACGGTTTGCGTGGCAGCTACCTCGTCGTCCACTTCCTCCTCCTCCTCTTCCTCCTCCTCCTCCTCCTCGCTGCTCTCCTCCCGCTCCGGGTGCCACGTCCCCTCGTCAGAGTCCTCGCTGCTCTCCGCCACCACCTCCGGCTCCACGATCTGCCGGTGCCTCGCCAGCCTAAGGGCGGACGGGGTTAGCCGGGGTTAGCCAGGGTTTGGGGGCGTTTTGGGGCTAACCCTGACCCGGACGGGTGGGCCTAGGGGGGTTCTACCTCTCCTCCACGTCCTCCGACACGCGGTTGAGCAGACGCTTCAGACGGGGGTCGGACACCTCCTCCTCCTCCAGCTCCACCTCCGGCTCCACCTCCTTCCCCGTCTTGACGAACTTGAACTCCTCCTCCTCCTCGTCCGAGGACTCCATGGGCGCGTAGTCCGGCCGCTTGCCCGATACATAACGCTTCACCTTCACCTTTTCCATGGACAGCTCACCTGGGGGCAGCGCAACAACAGGCCAAAGGGCTCAAATCTACCCCACATTTGCAAAAACTAATGACCAACTCCACATTAGAGCTGAACCTGTAATATGTCGTATTTATTAGTTAATTTGTCCGAATATGACCTTATAATGTTTGGAAAACTAACCAAAATCTTTTATCCAGCAGAATTTTTCTGAGGAAACAAAATCTTAGCCTCTCATCCTACAAATAATTTCTAATAAAGTCTGTCATAGTTCACACAAATAGTTGTTTTCTTTATTTCTGCGTCTGTAAAATAAGGTGTCAGGCACATTAAGTAAAGGGAAAGTACAGTTAGTTGACTTTCAGGAGAATAAATCAGCAAGATTTAACTTCTCAAAACAGCCAGTTTGATGTTATACTATTGGAGCTGGAAAAGCTTGACCTGCTATTAAGTATTTATCCTAGTATCACAGATCACGTGAAACTCTGCAAAAAGAATTATAAAAATCAGATGCAATTATGATAACAAATTCTGTTTTACTTTAAATCATAATTAATATATTAGGCTTTAAAAGGTGAGAAATCCCAGAAAAACATGAGTTTGGGTAAAAATGAAATGATTATGGATGGTTGAATTTTCAAAATGCCTGAACATCCTCTGGATTTAGTTAAGTATTATATCTACTAGAAGAAGTATTTTAAAAATTTTACACCAGATGAAATGTTTACTTTTTATTCTCATGTGGAATGCTTTTGTTTGTGTCCTATAAATAATATCAAATGCTTCCTTTATATTCTCCATGATAACGTCTCTCATCTTTGTATCACAGTTTTTATTCAATGCAATAGTGAGTTCATTTCTCACACTTCTGGCATCTTAAGCTAACTGTTTTTATTAGCTTACAAGATGCTAACTTAGCTAGCAGGCTAAGCGGCCGGTCTCACCTTTCTCGTTCCGGACCGGAACGGCACCGGCCGTGGACTGGATCGGTGGCAGCTTCATGTTGGTGGATTCGTGACTAGACATGATTGCCTGGTCGACGACGTGAAGCCCGAGAAATTATACACAAAACGGATATTTCTCCTAACCAAGAAAAAGCTAACCGTAGCGACAAGAACGGAAGTCTAACTAAATGTGCTGACGGACCGGAAGTTCAAATGTTCCGACAATTGTTTCCGTCTGCTGGGAAGCAGCTTAAAGGACAAACGAGACCACTCACTCTTATCATTTTAAAGCCCACTTAACACATTACTAATTACTACCCAAATTTTTGATAAAAATAAAACGTAACGAAAGGTGGATAAAAAGCTTTGAGTATCCAAAATGGTGGAAATTTTGGACAATACCTCCCCCTAGCGGTTTGGCGTTTGAATTGCCACAGAACATGCTTTAGTTAAAGTTGTTACAGTCGTTGTAATAAAACTTCTTTAAAATATTGACAATATTGATGTGAAAACGTTCAATTAACCTTGATTTACAAGTACATATATAACAAGGCCCACTCGATTAATTACTACTCTTAAAGAGAAGGGTTACTTGTGTCAATTCTATCTTGGTGTTCGGACATTTCTTCCAAAGCAAACATCAGTGGAATAAAAACGGGTTCTACTGGGTGATCCAACACCTCATTGAGATAATTTCCTATCGTTTTTAATAAAGCTATATGTGAATTGATAATTTA